ACCCAAACCATTCTGTGATTCAAGGCTTTAAAAGTACAAGTGACAACGTTTTCAGGTAAAGCTGAAATACTAAACCTCCAGTTTCCCGAAGGCTTTGTTTTCTGAAACAGTCTTACACTCCACAAGCTGCTGAGCAGGGCCTTTGTAGATCATACACTCTTAACTAGCTACATTCCGCTTGGGAGCGTCACAACCCAAGTGGATGTCTTGAGGGTTTCCCCCCACTCCATCCCGCTGTTGTACAGACACCCTCAGCGCAGTTGTGCTCCCCCAAGCGCCAGATCTGTTCTCCATAACCACACGCGTGCTGGGCACCTCAGCAGTGGGAGTTTGAGCTTAGATGTCACCCTTACTGTAAAACAGCTTGTCCTTTGAAATTTCCACAGCTACACATAATGAACAAATCAGGGTATCATTTACTAAAGTAGGAGCTTTTGGAGTTTATCAGAACATGGTCAGGTCACTAGAAATACAGTTGTGCCTCTTCTTAGTCACTGGACACATGTTGAGTATTGCTCTGTTCCTTGTGTTCCTAACTGCCCGTGTTTTGATGGGACAGGAGGAAAACATTTAGAGAATTTGAAAGGGTTTGCGTTTAGGTACCACTCAAGATTTTCAGTCCTTTCTGAGATGTAAGTATGCAGATCACCGAGATGCGGGTGGTTGTGTAGCTGTACAGACTGCTCACTAACCCTCTGCTTTGCCATTACCCACCGGCACCGGGTGTCTTCATTTTCAGATCAGGTTCTTGGAGATGCCTGAGCAGCACCACTGCCTCCCATGGCTTCGCTTGCGTCGAGTAGTGAATATGACTTGGTATTTTTGTTGGCAGGGTGTGGAGCAAGGGTTTGTCGGCTTGGTAACGCTCGTTTTAGTCATATTTTAGGTGTGTTTACAACCCTTCCGTGAAACAGTTCTTAGACCACAGCTAGGGGGTTGTATGCTGTTGTGTACGCGGTGGCCTGGAGTCCGCTCGCGTGCGACAGGTTTGCTGCTGACGGTGGGTGAGCTGGGAGGTTGAGCTGCTGCCGTGACGCGAGGCTGTAGAACTGGGCGTTTAGAAAATTCGGATGCTGAACGGGAGGACCTTGTTAGTAAGACGAGGAGGGGAGGAGATGGATATTCTGTCTGTTAATTCAACTTTTTTCTTCTAATACTTGAACAAAAAAATCTGTTATTTGGACTAGTGTGCATTTTTGTGATTCTGAATATTTTAACATGCTCAATAGTATTTCATTATCTTTGGAGTCTGGTTTAGGGTTCATTTCTGGAGTGATAAATTGTTAAAAGTGCAAAGAGCGTTCAACACCCCTCTGATAAAATATTTTTTTGACTATGTCCATAGACTTCAGGCGATTCCTTGGCTAGAGACAAACACGGAATGAAAGCAGATCGTGAGCATCAGTGTAATAGAAATGTGGTTAGTCATATGCTTAGATAAACAAGGGTAGCTGTTTGCTTTAGCTTAAAAATATGAGAGTCACAGCTTAGTTTAGATACCTAATGAAGTATCTAACATACCCAGATCAAATGAGACTTTAATCAGAACAAAATCCATCATAATAAAGGAAATAAACTGCTGAATTGTCAGTGGTAGGTTTCATCATAACATTTGTCACAGGTTCCCAGAGAAGCATTGGGAAATGGTTTGCTTGTGTCTGCTTCAGTTCTTCATGATAAAGATGGAGTTAAATATTTCCCTGTCTAGTATGATTTGTCTGTTTTTAATCTGCAAGTTCTTTCAGGCAGTGACTGTCTCGGGCTGCCCCTCACTCTGTCTGCAGAAGGCTGAATGAAAATCCAGAGTATAAGCCCTTCTGACAGACTGCCAGAATCAAAGTATTTTAATGAGGAGATCAATATTAGTGTATCTTTGCAAGTTCTGCCTGCCTGGCTGGCTTTTTAGGGTCATTTAGCAGGATATACGAGTTGGAGTTACTCTTTAGTGCTTTTAATAAGAAAGAAGGAAAGGAATCTGGAATAGCTTTAAACAAGAAACTGATATATTTGTCCCCCAGAACTGACCCGGAAAGAACATGGGGTCAGTTTAGTTCCAGGCAGTATTCACACGCCTACATTCCTCTAAATAAAAAAATGTTCATTCTCATGCTGTGTGTGTCCATTCCGTGTATATTTACATACAGACATAGGAAGGAAGTTGCATTTACACTGATGTAGAAGGGCATTTTATCCATTTTCAGTAACTCCCCATCCAGTGTCGGAGAGTGAATTGAAGAGTCAAATAAATACTCTTTGTTTACATGTGCCAGAATTAGAGCACTAGGAAAGCACTCTTTTTGCTGAATTTGTGTCTTCAGGTCAGTGTTGACCTTTGTTTCACATCCTGCGGAAGGATCATTATTTTTTTTGGGGGGGGGGCCCTACAATGAAGCTGGGGGGGACTTTTTACAAGGGCCTGTAGTGACAGGACAAGGGGTAACGGGTTTAAATTGAAAATGGGGAGATTTAGATTAGGTATCAGGAAGAAGTTCTTCCCGGAGAGGGTGGGGAGGCACAGGAACAGGTTGCCCAGAGAAGCTGTGGATGCCCCATCCCTGGAAGTGTTCAAGGCCAGGCTGGATGAGGCTTGGAGCAACCTGGTCTAGTGGAAGGTGTCCCTGCCCATGGCAGGGGGGTTGGAACTGGATGGGCTTTAAGGTCCCTTCCAACCCAAACCATTCTATGATTGTATGAATTCATGTTGCCCTCAAAGAATAAATACAACATACCTGAATGTGCTGAGGAATGACCAGTTTCTGTGTAAAAAGAATTAGTGTGGTCTTGTTTTCGCTGTTGGGAACAGCCGAGCCCCGGGTCCCAATATCTCACTTAAAATGAAACAGAAATTCGTTTGTTGCTTGTATCGGGAGAATAGTGCATCTGGGTGGCTTTATTAGTTTTCCGTATCCAAATGCAAAGAGCTCCAGTAATTGGCCCCATTTGCAGGCCTGGAGAGGGAGCCAAGTACATATAAGCCGTCCTCGGGCAGGAAGCAGGAATTAATGCGCAGCGTTTCTCATCCCGTGCTTGAAATTTTGCTGTTGGGAAGCAAACAATTTTTTTTTTTTTTTAAAAAAACAACTTTTGCTGCCTTTGAAAATATTAAAATTCAGGTTTTCCGGTGCTGCGTCTGGGAAACGGTACTGTCGGTGTTCGCGAAGCAGTCGCGAGGGCTGCCAGGAGATTCCCTGGCTGCAGTGGCAGCAGCCAGGGTGTATAGACTGGAATGAAATGACATCTCTCTTTGGCAGTGTAGATTCTTAACAGTGTTTTCCTCTCTGTGATTGGTTCTCAGTCGTGTGAATCGGTAGGAAGAGCAGAAAATGACACTTTTCATTTGTGTTGTAGAAGCCTGACGTGCGGCTCTCCAGAGGCAGCATCGACCGAGAGGATGGAGGTCTCCAGGGCCCAGTAAGTATGCGTGGGATCTTTTCATCTCCAGTTTCCTGGTAGAACGTGTTGTACGCTCTCTGGATTATGGGAGATGATTTAAAGTTTCTGCTAAATATTTCCCCTGTTATTACATGTTTCTACAACTTTCCAAGCGGCTCAGCTTCTGTGGGAACAGCAGCCATGGCAGACGTGTTCATGCAGCAGTTTGGGGCAGTTGGGGTGTATTGTGGGGGTTTTTTTTCCCCCCTTGAAGCTGCCATTGAAAGAAATACTAAAATATTTCCACAAATATGTTGCAATAATTTGTAAGTGTTCATGTGCTGTATAATTGAGCCTTTTATTTAAAAATGTGGATAGTTTTCTGAAAGTTCTGTCAACAGGAAGCAGGATTAAAATAACTTTTGCAGTTGTTTAAATAACTGGAGGGTTTTCTTACAGGGAATGTAAATGTTACTGTTGTATTACCCAGAAATCTGTTTGGGGTAAGTGATCCACTCTGAACCAAACGGAACAAACCCCATAGCCATTCCTTTATTGCCAGACTACAGCTGTGGTATTCTTTCTTACTGGCTTAACTCCTGTCTGTTTAACTAAACACGTCTCTCCAGTTGTCTAATTGCCACTGGAATAACGGAATCCGGCTGATGGAAAGGGGGGGTTAGGCTAGGGACTGTTAACAATAGAAACCTGATGCTTCATCTACTGTTTGTCCCCAGGGATCAGCTGTACAACAGTTAATATTTTCAATTCACTTTCCTCGTTGATTTGGGATGCGACTGTTAAACTCCTAGTTTGGCTTCAGTATTTCTTCACTACCTGAGAATTCAGGGGCTCTTCCTGCATTTGCAGCCGAAGTGCAGTCATGGATGAGTATGTTAATGACTCGCTGCAGCGTGTTCTCTAGAGACACTCCTGTCTGGGAGCCGCTAAGGTTTTTTCCATGAAATTGGAGAAGACTCTTCAGTTATTGTTGCGTCTTCACAGTTGTTTCATCTTTGCGTAAGAGCAGTAAAGTCTCGCTGCATTTGTGCCATTCCTGAAGGTGCTTTAAGACAACCTGGAGATTTTGAAGTCATTTCAGAGGTTTGATTCGGGTGGTTGTCAGTGGCCAGTGCCTTGTAGCCAGCTGGTTTCTCTGGGTGCTGCCTGGGTTTAGAATGGAAGGTACAACACCCAGATCCCAGGCTGCTTGTAGGGGAGGTCCTGTCCTCCCAGACAGTTTCACACCCCGTTTGAAAGCGTGTGAAGAAAACGCTTAGTGATCACTGACAAAATGAGTTTTAAGGGAGACTCTAATTTGTGATAACTACGTTTCTAGTTCTAGAATTTGATTTTGCATTTTTATAGTTCTTAATGCATTCAGAACATAACTGACTTAGTTTGCCACTGTCGTTGCTCCCTGGTCCAGCTGGCAGTTACAGCACCCTTCCCGCTGTTTCCCCTCCCTGGCTGCACCCGGTCCCCGGGGGTGGTTTTGTAGGTGTGTGTGGGCTGCTCCCAGCCCTGCCCGGCCTTGGCCGCTGTGGCGGAGCCACGGGCTCCTGGGTGGTTCCTCCGGTCCCCTCAGGTTCCCTCGGTTCAGGAATCATAGAATCATAGTATGGTTTGGGTTGGAAGGGACCTTAAAGATCATCTAGTTCCAACCCCCCTGCCATGGGCAGGGACACCTTCCACTAGACCAGGTTGCTCCAAGCCTCATCACACTTCCAGGGATGGGGCATCCACAGCTTCTCTGGGCAACCTGTTCCAGTGCCTCACCACCCTCTCCAGGAAGAACTTCTTCCTGATATCTAATCTAAACCTCCCCACTTTCAATTTAAACCCATTACCCCTTGTCCTGTCACTACAGGCCCTTGTAAAAAGTCCCCCCCAGCTTCCTTGTAGCCCCTTCAGGTACTGGAAGGCTGCAAGAAGGTCTCCCCGGAGCCTTCTCTTCTCCAGGCTGAACAAGCCCAACTCTCTCAGCCTTTCATCACAGCAGAGGGGCTCCAGCCCTCTGAGCATCTTTGTGGCCTCCTCTGGACTCGCTCCAAGTGGTCTATATCCTTCTGATATTGGGGGTTCCACAGCTGGATGCAGCACTCCAGGAATCCCCTGTGCACCACGGATCCTCCGCTCCTCAGCACGGAGCTGCCTCGGCGACTGCGCTTGGCATGAAGGTTCTATAAATGTAATTGCCAAGGAAGGTCGCTTCCGTCTATTGGTGAATAATTCTAAATGAATAAGCAAATTGAGCTTGAATAAGAGCTTTGCAACAAATCAAAAAGTAATCCAGCCTAGAAATCCGTTGCGGTTACAGAAACCGTGCAGCAGGAGCTCAGTCTTCCGGTTGTTGCCCTGCCATTTCTTCTTCACACCCTGACTTCTCCAGTTCGATCTGCGAGTACAGCCTAACAGTGACTGTGAACATACCACCACGTGTAATAACGAAGGATGAACTGTAATGCAGAGGCCAGGGCCGTCGTGAGGGATAGAAAATAATGCAAGTTCTTTTCTTACTCCATAAATACGATACCTGTAGTTAGGAGCTTAGCCAATGGTGGTGACTTGGGATGGGTTTTTAACCGTCGGGGAATGTGCTGAGAACTGGCTACTCGCAGTGTGTGAGGTTGCGCTGATGAAAGCTGTGAGCACTGTAATAACGAGTCTAAACGTACATTTTATTTTATAGGCTGGTAACCAACACATATATCAGCCTGTGGGTAAACCAGGTAAGCAGCAAATCCATACGCTGTCATCTTGAACCCTTGATTACAAGTCTTCTAGCAGCAGTAGTGTACAAAGATTTTTGCCAGTGTTTTCATACGAGGGGTGGGTTCAGTTGCACAGAACTGCACAGGGGTGTTTCGGTGTTTGAATTCCCCTGCAGTCCCCAGAGATGTAGTCAGCAAAGTCAAAGTGTTTCATCAACAGCGGGAAGTGTCTAGAGGAAGCTGAGTCGCTCTGTAGGACTTCGCCATGTACGGAGTTGAGACATGTAAAACAAGGTAGACACCTAAATTTAGGTTTCACAATCTCAAAGTGAATCACACTGGATTTCTGCCATGAAATCCTGATCTCCCAGGCGCACACAGGACATGTACTATGAAGGAGTCAGTACCTCTCGGGTCTGGGGCAGCCATACTGAGATGAGTAGCAGTTGCCCCGCAAAGGGATTTTTGGAGTCTCCTACTAAAACAGCCATTTTCTCATAATCACAGGAAAACTTGCTGAATTCTGTCTATATTTCTCCAGTAGAAATATTCAAGTATTCGATATCCTACAATATTCATCCTACAGACTGGGTTTACTGCGACACATTAGCACATACGTCTCCTCTGCTAGTACCGTAAAGCACGTGTAGCCTTTGTAGTGCTGACAGAGCAGAATTATGCAAGTCCATCTGGTACGTGGGTCCTCTAAAATGCAAATTGTTCTGTCAACCAGATCACGCAGCGCCACCAAAGAAACCTCCCCGCCCTGGAGCCCCCAGCCATTTGGGCAGCCTTGCAAGCCTGAACAGCCCTGTGGACAGCTACAACGAAGGCGTTAAGGTATATTGCTCAGTGTCACATGAAATATGCTTCAGAAAATTAAACATTACTGTTCTGAGATAGTTTGCTGTTCCTGAAGTAGAGACCGTGGAAAGCAAAAGTGACTAAACTTCCCAAGTAAATGTTGTCATGGAGCAAACATGTGCTGGCAGCTCTCCAGGGATGTGGGGAGTTAACTGGTAGGCTCACATCCTCCGCGACTGTGATTCAGCCTGTTCCTCACCTAGAACCTTTCCCAGATGAGCTTCTTTATAGTGTGAAGAGCATGTGAGATCTCCTGTCTGGACACAGCCTCCTGGCTCAGCAGCTGTTAAGCAGGGAAGAGCACAGCCAGGGTTCGCAGTTACTCGGGTCGTAGCAAAGTCCCCTTTTCCTGATCACAGAGAAGTGAGACATGTTGGAACTGTGCTGCTCCAAAAAGCTCTTAAAGGCTCCTAAAACCCTACTACCTCTGGGGAACAAGGGAAGAGGGGTAATGGCCTGTCTGACCTGTGACTGAGATACTTTAGAACATGTTGTTTCATCTCCAGTAAATGGGCAGTAAAGCCAAAAATGAAACTCTACAGTTTCCTAGCAGGGAGATGCTGCAGAGTGCTGAGAAGCACACCGTCCTGCCCCCTGCTGCAGTCAGCGTCGGTGGAACTGCTCCTTAGTGCATCCCTCACTTTTAAAATCGTGCCTCTAGGTGGTGTTCCCTGCCTTTGGGGCTCCTTTACTTTGACAATCTTCAGGAAACAGAAACCTGAGTGACCTCAGGGCCTCCCGAGGAGAACCAGTGGAGCTATTCCTGATGGTGGAGCTATTTTTATAGTAGTGGTTGGGAATTCTGTGTCAGTAAACAGAAATGCAGCTGATGTAATACGCTCACAGAAATGCAGCTCATCTCTATGCATTGCTGTTTTATTATTTCACAACTTTGCAGCTAGACAAGCACCCCTCCCCAAAGACTGTTGGTCTGACAGCAGTATTGCTAACCAAAGCGTCCCATTCTGCCACCTGATGCCCTCAGGAGAACCCAGGCACCTGATGCATTTGTGCTCCAGAGATGGGGCCTGCACGAGAGCGCAGGCTGCTGCAAATACCCCGGGGCAATCCCTGCTCCAGTATCCCAGCTGGTGCCAGTAGCACAGCTTCTCACAGCGGGAGAACCTCCTGCTGACCACAGAATCACAGAACAGTTTGGGTTGGAAGGGACCTTAAAGCCCATCTAGTTCCAACCCCCCTGCCATGGGCAGGGACACCTTCCACTAGACCAGGTTGCTCCAAGCCTCATCCAGCCTGGCCTTGAACACTCCCAGGGATGGGGCATCCACAGCTTCTCTGGGCAACCTGTTCCGGTGCCTCACCACCCTCTCCAGGAAGAATCTAAGCCCTAAGAAGAATCTAACCTAAGCCCTGCCAAGCCTGCAGTAACTAAGGGGAATCCACGTTGTGGCAGACACAGCTATTGTGATCAGTGACGTTTAGTTTAGGTAATTTAAAAAATACAGAAAAAATCCAGTTCCTCTGACCATGAAATTAAAAACCTGCCATCAAAGCAGTATGTTTAGCCCAGATGGATGTCAGCCACTGCCTGCCTGTCTCTTCTTGCTCTCTTTTTCTAAGATTATCGGAATATTTCAGATCCAGCATAAACAGACAGCAGTGGCAAATTTGAGCAGGGTTAGTTCCCATAAACTGATGCCAGGGCTTTTCAAGCTGCCAAGCCTCAGAAAATGTCAAAAAGCAGGAACAGATGCCTTGCTGAACTTGGCTTCTCCAAAATTTCCTTTCTAAACACTGAATCTGGAACATGAAAAACGTTTTGTGAAATACGTCCTTTTTGACAACAAACAAACCTCAGCAGCCAAAGTTATCAGTAATAACAAGCGAAGAAGATGCGTGTACCAAACAGCTTCTTCAGCAGAAAAGAGAGGCTGATTTTTCTGTCAAGAATCTCTTGACTTTGGGTTGGTTTATGCCCCTTCAGGAAAAGAGCCCTTTATTTTTCAATAGGGTGTAGCTTTGTTACTGTCTGCAGTTGTGAACTGAAGATGCTTCTGGGGTTTATTCCACGCTCCCTTTTCCGCACATCCATTTCAGTCTCCCTTGACTGCAGAATACAGATTAAAACGGGGGGGTTTGAACTGCTTGACCTCGGGAACCTTTAGGGCAGGCGCTGGGAGATACATGGGTTTGTGTTACTTCGGAGATACATGGGTTTGTGTTACTTCCTGAGGCAAAGCCAGCCAGTCCACACGAAGACACTCCTGACTTCAGAGTCCCCAGAGCGAGAGCGTCGAGGTTGGGGGGAAAGGGGAAAACGGGAGAAACGCAGATGTCCCGACTCCGAAACGCTTGGGCCTGGCTGTAGGAATGCAGCAGAGTGGGTGTCATCCATCTAGAGTGGGGTCTTGCTAGTTCTTGCGGGAGCGAGAGAAGCACCGTTAGATGACCATGCATCCTATCGTGACTTCTCCAAAGAAGAAAAAGGTTTCGGAAGGATGAATACAACACTTATTTAAATCCCTTGAGTCCCGGATTGGTTGTGAAGGGACGGGGGTTGCACGGGACGTGTTCTTTCCCACCCTCCAGAGACCCTCTGCGCCGTTCCCTCTGCTGCTCGCCAGACTGGCTTGCTCCTGCCAAGCTTTGCATGACCTCTCCCCGATGTGTGCGGTGAAACAGGAGCATGGGTGCATGGCCAACACCTCCACCTCCCGCTGCTGCCGTCACCAGCGGGCCGAGAGCTAACACGGATGGTGGCCCCTACTGTCGAGGGTGCCTTTTTGTTGCAGGCTTTTTAACTGGTCTCTTATTGCTACACATGTTTTGGTTTGTGGTTTGGTGTTTGGTGCTGAGTTTTATTAATACTGTTTTTTCTTTTTTCCCCTTCTTTTGGTAAATTTCTTTAACCTTCCCCCACATTCTGCTCAACCATAGCCATGGAGGGTAAGCAGTGCGCGAGCGTGTGTACGTGCCCTATTCCAAAATGTCTTTGCATGTGACTTGGCCAGATGACTGTTTAACTTCTCGATTGCTGACACCCAGTATAATCACAGCTTTTCACTGGTAATTGAGGCAATTGCACGGTTCTTTTCCCTGAGGCATCTTCTGATCAATACGCGAGATCCAATCTCTGTAACGCTTGTCCGTACCCACGTAGTGAAATGCATCCGGTTGGAATCACCGTGCTCTAAATCCTGCACTCCTGCCTTAGACAGGGCTTCATCCCTTTAGTTTAGAGTTTCATCAGGGTAGCATCTCAGGTGCTTCCAGTGAAACATCCCTGTTCCTAGGACCAGTTCTAGGAACCGGTAGCAGTCCAGCGCGGTGGGCTGCAATGCCATGAGCCATCCCAGATCAGCAGGGTGGGCGGCTGCCGCGTGACCCGTAGGAAACAAGCAACTTCTTTATCCTTCTGCTCCCGCTGAGCCGTGGCGGGGACATCCCGTAGCAGCGAAGAGCTGCGGGAACTGGGATCCTGTCGTTTTAGAGGTCAGGAGCAGAGACACTGAGGACCTTAAGTTTTCAGTTTGTCTGTCGTGGGTTTAACTCTAGGCAGATCTGACTCGGTGGAGGTTTTGCTTGAGCAAGGATGACAGAATTTTTAACTGATGGGGTTTTTTCTGCACTGTTGGAAACAAACTATGAAAACATTCAGTCTTGCCCACCTGTACTGGTGACACCATTTTGGTTAACCTGCTTTGGGTTTTCACTACCAAAACAATATGTACTGCAGCATTCTCTCTTTATTATATCAGTATGTTAACTGAACTCTGACATTGTTTTGGAGCACAAAACGACTTTCTGGAGCGAGGGACCCGATGCCTGTTGCCTTGGCAGCAGAACCTGCCCATCAGTAGTGAACCACTTAGGCATGTCAAGTACTCCATACTCCTCGTTCCTCAAATCGTTTTCTTCTCTCTTGTGGGAGTTACATGGGAAGCTCTTCAGGGAAACCCTGGTAAAAATTCCCCAGTGTCATTTCGCAGATCAGGTTCAGTCAGAAGAACTGAAGGAAACTTCCTTCAGATCCCGGAGCGATGGCGCTCAGCCAGGAGAAGGGGACCCAGCGGGAGCGGGCAGGGGGGAGGCTGTTGCAAATACAAGACCTTCCCGGCTCTCGGCAGAGGTTGGGAAGTTGCTGAGCCCCATCTGCTGGGGACAGGAGGTTGAACAAGCCCTCTCTACTTCCAGATTCAGCCGCAGGAAATCAGCCCTCCTCCTACGGCCAACCTGGACCGCTCCAACGACAAGGTCTACGAGAACGTGACGGGGCTGGTGAAGGCGGTCATAGAGATGTCCAGTAAAATACAGCCAGCCCCGCCGGAGGAGTACGTACCCATGGTGAAGGTACGGGGGCGATTCCCAAAAGTCAGCGTTACACCTTTCTCCTGACTGAGGTCTTCCAGTGGCACAGCAGGAGCTGTGTGGCCAGCTGGAAGCAGAAAAGCTTTTTGTATTCGCAGGGCGGGTAACCTGTGGTGCGAGGGCTGGAGCCTTGGAGGCTGTTAACAGGGTTCTGGGAAATGACGGTTTAATTCCTCCGCTTGCCTGGGCCTCCCCAGAGGCAGTGAGCTCTGCACTGTCCTCTACATTTGGCCTTCTAAGACGAACCTTTTTTAATTAACCTTTTGGCATTGGGTTTGGCTAGTGAAACATGGAACTGCAAGTGGGGTTTCCAAAATCCCTAAGCCATCTTCCAACTCCTTATCCAGATGAGGGATTGAGCGTATTAGTTGCTTCCTGTGCTCCAGGTACAAGTCTCTCATCCACTGAATCCGAGCTTTTAAATTTTATTTCCTTACACTGTTTTTTCTTTTTTAGGAGGTTGGTTTGGCATTAAGAACCTTATTGGCAACAGTAGACGAGACCCTCCCTGTGCTTCCTGCCAGCACCCACAGAGAGGTACGTCAAGCTCCCTCTCCCGCAGCTCAGTCTGTTTCCCCTCTCTCTCCTCTGCACAAGCTTTGAATCACTGAGCAGAATGAACTCACGGGTTATAATTCCTCATGAATTTGATGTTACGAGAATCCAGTTGCTGTGTGGACATTGGCTTGTACTGACTGAGGACACGCAGAGCGGATGCAGTTGAAGAGCACACAACATGCGCGTAGGAAGTTGATGTAAAAACCGTTAGCTGTGCTCTGCACGGAACGTCTTAGCACTGGATTAGATCAATCTTTCACAGGTTTAAATTGAAAGTGGGGAGGTTTAGATTGGATATCAGCAAGAAGTTCTTCACGGAGAGGGTGGTGAGGCACTGGAACAGGTTGCCCAGAGAAGCTGTGGATGCCCCATCCCTGGAAGTGTTCAAGGCCAGGCTGGATGTGGCTTTGAGCAACCTGGTCTAGTGGAAGGTGTCCCTTCCCATGGCAGGGGGGTTGGAACTGGATGATCTTTAAGGTCCCTTCCAACTCAAACCGTTCTGTGAATCACTAAACTACAGCTTGCACACGAAGTCACTGACCAGGTAATTGAGCACAGCTTGGTGCAGCTGGAAGGCTCTGATGAGATATCCCAGAGCCACCCAGTTCTCCATGAGAAGTGCCCAAGATCTTTCAGTGAAGTTCTTGACTCAGGAGTAAAACTGTTTTCCCTCCAAAACCTTGAATGAGTGTGCTAATGAGAAAGCGAGGGAGTGGGTCTTTAAGTGCCATCCTAAGGAATCACCCCAATCTTAGCTACGTGGTTCAGTTAAGTAACCTGTGTCTGGCTTCTTGACTGGTTTTATTTTTTAGAGCTACTTCAATAATAGTAATTTTAAAAAAATATTATAATAACAAAGTGTTAACTCTAAGATGTGGGTTAAAATCTGCTTTATTAGGGATTTGAGTCTTGGTGCCATTTAAGGGTGGCCAGCCCAGCAGCAGGCAAGGGTGCTCTGCATCTCCACACAGCACAGAGCAGCAGGTGCCAACATTCCCTCTGCTCCACATGGTGCCCACAGGAGCAGCCCCAGCTTCTGTTGGGAATCTCAAGCAGTGGATATGCAGCCCTGAGAAGGACTTGGGGG